AGAGTCCTAAATGATGTAGGTTTCTTTAAGGAACTACTGTTATGAGTTTGGAAAATATCTCCCATAACAGGTAGCTAACCGCTTGGACCGTTTCGGAGGGTGTTTTGGGGGGTCCAAGCAAGGTCGAAGACTACACGAGTTATTGTGGTTTCCTCTGAAAACTTAACACTTATAGGACTTACATAAGGGACCCTAGCATTCAACAATAGGTAGCATGAGTCTGAAAAAATGTACTTGGTCTTTGTATTGTTCTAAAGTCCTTTTGCAGGGCTTGTGGGTTCGGCATTTGGCTTCGGGGCTTCATGACCCATATAAGGGGCCTATGGGGGCTTAGGGCTATGGAAGGAAAGCGAAATTAAACCCCAGACCCGGAAAGCCCAAACCTTCAAGCCCGACTGCCCTAATCCCGAACAGACCTACCGAAAGCCCCAAGCCTTCAACCCTTAAAAGCCATACTTAAAGCCTCATGCGCGTTAGCCCAGTGCCAGTGAAATCCCAATTGATAGGTCGGAGTCTGTACTGGGGGCACCCCCCTTATAGCTTCTACTCGTAGAAAACTTATGCCACAATTTGTCCCAGACCACTATTCTCATTGCTACGCTCTGTTGCATGAATCCTAAACATCCACCATGTTTGGGGATATTGCAGGATTGCGGCAAGGTGTGCAGTCGGTGCATCCACCGACCGGTGGATGTTGCAGAGAGCCTGCCGTTACTTGTCTTTTCGTTTGAGTGTTGCGAATTTCGGTTTTCGGCATTGAGGGTTATAGCATTCTGATATTCAGAGTTCGGGGTTCCGTGTGCTAGAGCCGCGAGGGTTTTCGGGGCTTAACCGGACAATTTTGTACCAGAGAGCCTACACTCTAAGCGTCGTCTTATTGTCAGGTTGTCTCAAGGTTGGGGTTTGATAGAGTTTGAGTATCCCTAGGACTCCAGCCACTAGAATAGGAGGTTACAAACCAGATAAAGTATGCCCTGCCAAAACCCTAAACCTTTCAACCCTAAACCCGTGACCTTAAACCCTAATCAGGGGCCCGGGCATTGTAAACTCCTCGAAAAGCGTGCACCTTGGCCTCTGGACCGATTAGATCCCGTGCTCCATTGCCCGGTGATGTGCGCCAAATGCCAGTCGTAACCCCTACAGGGCGTAAGCTTGAGCCACACAGTAGCTTCTTGCCTGGGGTAGGGGAGATGTCAGGCGAACCTGCTATGCGAAACTCCGGGGAGGGTTGTGGACACGTTGCAGTGCGGGACTAAACACCGAACCGATAGGAACCTTGAGCCTCTATAAGTAAACCTGTGCGCCCCCCAATGCCTTGAACTCCAGCCCAAACTTAACCTGTAGCTCCCAAGCCTACAAAACAGCAGGAGACGACTCCTTAGTTCGACTTCAGGCCCTTTGAAACAATCAGTAGGTTCTTGGATGCACACCACAATCCCCTTAACTCTGAACCCTCAACACTACAGCCTGGAAACCTTAAACCCTCAACCCCTCAATCCGTAACCTGAGCTAACAACTTCGGACAGAGAGGCCCCCTGCGGCCGAGAGCAACACGGACACGCGACGACGCTTCTCGGCATCCAATCTGGTTTGCTCTAGCGAGGAGCGTTTAGTGTTTCTGGGTGTAGGTGTACTAAACCCTAAACCCTAGGGTTTGGAGTTTGCGCCTAATTAAGCCCTAAACCCCAACCCTGAACCCTGATCCTCGAAAATTGAGCCTTGAACCCTTTAACCCCAAGACCCAACACCAAAAGATGAAGCCTAGATGGGCTGTTGCACCGATCACCTGTCAGGCCTCGTGGTGAAAGCCGCCAAAGATTCCGAGACAGCGGCTCGGCTCCTCCTCCCTGGAGTTTCATATTTTAGAAGAACATGTTATGACCTACGACCTTTTTTTGCAATTATAGAAGAATATATTCTGATCATTTCTGATCAGATCTACGACTGTATAACAATTATAGAAGAATATGTTATGATCTACGACTGTATAACATCATGTAGTACAACATAGTTTGAGGGTCTCGGGCCTGAGGGCTTGAAGATTTTGGGGTTGTGGATTTCGTTTGAAGGAAGGGCAGGAGCAAAAGCAAGATCCCCGAAAACTGACCGCGGAGATACCGCCACTCCAAACAACAAGCGAGCCCAGATTTCTCTACTTTTTGTTGAAGGGGACGGCAGTCAATGTCGGCAGAAAAAGGTCAGCAACAGACAGAGCGAGCAGCATGGTATCGCAGATCCCTCAACCTAAACACTGAAATCAGCAAAAAGCCCCCGAGCCCTGCCTGAACCTCAAGAACGCCAAACCCAAGACTCTTAAACGTAAACCCTTAAAGCGTTTTGGGGGTAACGGTTTAGGGTTTAGGTTTAGGGCTGAACCCAACTAAAGGAAAATCGAAGAGGTCTGGCAGTGGGAAGGCGGCTACCTCGAGCGAGGGCGGCACTGTGGAAAGCCCCTCTTCGTGCGCGATGGTGCAGATGGCCGCTTTGCTGAGCCCAGGTTTACAGCCTAGAGACCCCGACCCCTATAGTGAAGAGTACTATAATTGTAGGAACCTAACACATGTAGGATTTCTCAGACCCCACAGAGACCCAAGGGCTCTCCCTAGGACATTCCGGACCCTCCTAGAGAGATACCTGGACCCTTAGGGAAGGGTTTAGGCTCTGTAGCCAGATCAGCCAGAGACGAAAATGCTAGATGTACCAACTGTTGAGGGTCAAACCCCTTTCGAAAACATGTTGGTTACTCTAAACATAGAAAATTCCGCAAATGTCATCTCATAGTCGCTGTACAACAGCCTTGCGGGTTAGACAAAAACTAAGGCTCACAGCCTCTCCCCTCAACCTTTCGGATTTCGGGCTTACGATGATTTCTTTAGGGCATGGAAGGAGACCTAGCCAAGCAATAAAGCAAGGTACTTCTGGCGAAAATCTTTAAACTCCAATGGAATGGAGGCCTGGTAGACATGTTCACCATGCAAGCCTTTACTACCAGATCTCAAAAACACACCATGTCGAACGAACCCTCCATGAACCAGGTTTCGTGGAAGGTAAGCCGTGTGAAAGCATCGGTCTTCATCAAGCCCTCGAACCTAAGCACCTCAGCCAAAGACCTGGACTCCAACACCCCAAACCCAAAGGGTCCTATGTACTGTTACGGGGGATACCCCCCCTAAGTCGTAATATGAATTCCTATTCTGGAAACCCTACATTCTGCGAAATCGATTCATAGGAGCCTTTAGGTCAACCCCGAGCCCCATAAGAACCTCTTAAACTTGCGAACCCTTTGGCGAACGATGCGCGGCGAAGCCACGACTTCCGAAGTCTATACTCTGATGAGCGACCTCTCAAAGTTGAGCCCTCAACGTGAAACCATGGTAAAACGCCTGAGTAGCCCAAGGGATGCTGCCGACCGAGGTGGTGTCGAATATGTCATCTACTACCATCCCGGATTCGCAAGGCCCCTGGGGTTTTGGAGCTTGTGCTTCGGAGGGGCTTTGGGCCCGTATGTCCAAGGATTTATATAAGGAAATCATCATAATGACAGACTCTTAAAGTAAATCCTAAACCTTTAAATCCTGAGGATGGCGCCCTGAATGAAAAGATATTGCCATGAAGAAACTTAAAAACCCTTCAAACTTTTAGAAGTCCCAACAAAAGATCTTACAAGAAAGGGACCTCCTGTCCATTGCGTTTCTGGGCAAGAGACTTTCATTGCTAAACACCCCTCGACCCGTGAATCCATAAGTGGTTGCATAGTCTTTTATTATCGCCCGTAGTACCATAACATACCCCGAACCCCTGCTCTAGCTAGTAAGGCCCTCAACACACCCAAAACCGCGATCCTATTATCCAGACACCCACGTTAAACTCAGCCTCAAACTTGAGTTACAACCCCTAAACCTGAGCAGTGTTAACCCCAACCCTGAGGTGGTTTCTGGGCAAGAAAGTTTGCACTGAACAGAGTGTGAGCTTCAGCTGCAAGCCGCCTGGACGCTTTAGCCGCACTTGAACGATGGGAGAGCAAACAGCTGTTATACAGGTCTTTCCTTTTGGACTTCGACATGTCATGTATGTGTGTATGTGTTTGTGTGTATGTATATATATATATATATGTATACACAGACAGTATATACATACATATATATATATATATACATATACATATAGATGCATACACTCGTCTGTATATATATATATATATGATATATGATATATATATATATATATATATACATGCATGCATGCATGCATACATACAGACATACATACATACACACATACATACATACATACATGTACATACACTCATGCACAAACACACACAGAGGCACGCGTAGTTTAGCGTGTGTGTAATTAAATACATTCATATGTACATACATATATTGAATGTATGTAGGTGTATGTTTGTCTATGTGTGTATGATTGTATGCACATGTATATATGGAGATACACATGCATGAATGCATAATCACATACATACATCGATATCTATATACATGTGATTACAAGATGTGCTCATTCACATGGCTATCTCTCTCTCTCTCTCTGTCTGTCTCTCCATCTCTCTCTCTCTCTCTCTGTCTCTCTCTCTGTCGCTGTCTCTCTCTGTCTCTCCCTCCCTCTCTCCCCCTGAGAAACCGAAGCACAATAAAGTTTGCTGTAATCGGCTCTGCTGTAAGAAGGCCCCTCCCCCCCGGCAAAACAAAAGCACGGGCACAGTTAGAGAAGCCCTTGCAATGATATCGCGTGCACTGCCCATTTGTCGCTATGCCGAAAAGCCCGGAAGCCTGATTAGATGGCCCAAGGCAATTTACCGTGACCAGCAACCTCACGGAAGACCATCATCACAGTTTATGATATCTGGTAGCCCTTCCCGAAATGCTGCCCGCTGAATGCCGCCGTTTTAGCCTAAACCCTAAACCCTAAAGTAGACTAGACATTGGTTTCTAATAAGTTCAGCCACTGGCACTTCTGACCCGTTGCCACTCGCCATGTTGCCCATGGAAGAAGGAAGCTCTGAATCTTCGCTGGATGAAGGGGAGGTCCATGCCGCCACCCGCATTCGTTCGATATCGGTGCAAACAGACGACGGTGCCCGGACACACACAGTGATCTTGGAGGAGTACGAAGAGCTACACAATGACGATCGCATGTTCGAGGCTCGACATTTCGTTTTGGGAAAAGTGGCAGCCAAGCTTGCACATTGGCGCCTTGAGGGCCACTGGACAATGCAACTTTACTGCTCTTAGGAATTATGTTTTAGTTTTCGTATTTAATGCATGCATATATACTTTTTTAACAGGGGATTAATTAAAGTACGGTTCTTAGGGCGGCTAAGGCAATGCGCCTCTTTGTTCGCCGGTGGCTTCCTCACACATTTATATGCTTATTCTGGCCCTCGGGTTGGTGGAAACCTTGCCCAAGCAACTCTCATCACACTCTGCGGCCACCTAGCACCGCCGCTCACCGCGCCCTTTGCCTTTGGGGCTTTCACAGGCGTTCTATCCCCAACGCTTGCTCCCGCTTCGCACTGGCTTGCCCTTCTACTCCTTGTGGGCTGCATCTGGGTTCTTGTTGAAGGGTTGAATTTAATAAGCAAACCATAAGGGATCTGAAGGTTTAGGAGTTTAAGGTATAAGTTACCCAAACAAGGAAACCATAGGTTATTTACCATAGAGGCCTATTATGGAAACTTGATTAGATCCTTTCACAAGAACTTAGATCCTAAACCCTAAACCCCATAGATACCTGTCAAAGGAACCCTGTAGATCCCTTTAAGGAGGCCTTTAAGAACCAAGGCATTGTTTGGCTCTTGGTCTCCCACTTCAAGGTCTTTGTCGGATTTGGAGGCCGTGTAGGCTTCACTGCATTCTGCTCGTGCTACCTGGTGCCTGGGGGGTTTTAGGGGTTAGGGTTTAGGGTTTAGAGTTATTTTTTAAGTTACCAGAGTAAGGAAACCATCTTCTTTACTATAGGTCCCTGTTATGCTAACTTCAATTAAATTCCTTAACAAGAAGCCAGGTGCAAGCCACGGTTCTCATGCCGGTCGGTGCCGTCGAGTACAGCGCAGTGAACCTTTTGGCTGACATGCTGCTTGACGGTGCGAAAGTGGACTCCGTGCGCGTCGTGTATGAGCAGCGTGTGTGGCAAGAGGATTTGATTTCAGTCTTTGCACCGGTATTTGGAGCCGTGACTGCCAATTTTCTGCGTAGCTCTGGTGCCAGCCTTGAGAACCCAATCACTGGTGCAACATCCGGCTCACTCATAGCGTTCTTGGTGCTGTCTGTAAGTGATTGGAGCTATGCATCCGTTGCAATGAATGGCTTTGCAGTTGGATCTTTCGTTGGCATGGCCTCGTTCGAGTACCTCCCAACAACGTTACCAGGTAGGCCTTTGGGACACTGTATGTTTTCCTCTGCGGGGCACCTCAACCCTAAAACCTACCTTGAACCTACCTTTTTAGGGTTTCTTATTGTGATGTGCTTGTATAAGTCCTGAAAGATGTAGATGTAGTTCTTCGGGGTTTAGGTAATCTTGAAAGGGCCAACCTAGGTTAAGCTTCGCCTTAAGTGGCCTTTTGGCTGGCGGATTTATTCTCCTCTTGGAGCCCTACTGCGAGGGCTGGAGCGGAAAGCGACTGGGCTTCGGAGTACCATACCTTAATACTTTTTTCGGGGACCTGTTACTTAAAGGGAACCATTGTGAACTAGACGTCGATTCTATGCTTTTCGCACCCTTGTTACTTGAAAGCCTAGGCAAGGGCTTTGCGCATTTCTTGGCTTTTCGGCCTTCGTTGCTGCAAAGAGGATGCTCTGCCGAAGGGCCAAGGATCCCCCCGAGCAGGGATGACGAGCCATCCTTCTACCGACATACGGTTTAGGAATTGTAAAAATAATAATAATAATAATAATAATAATAATAATAATAATAATAATAATAATAATAATAATAATAATAATATATATATATGTGTATAATGTAATATTATATAACATAATGTACATATATATGTATATATATATATATATATATATGTATGTATAGATCTAGATAGGTATAGATGTAGGTTAGGGGGAACAGATGTACATGATGCGTTTGCCCCTTGATGCTCTTTTGCCTCCGTGCACCTCGCGCGAGTCGCAATTTGTGATTCGAAGCGGGTGGCACTACGGCACTGGGAGGCCCTGATGCCAGTGCTAGCCTTCAAGAGCCCACCTTGAAGCGCAGACCAATTCATTGCCATATTTTCCACGAAGAATTCAAGAGGCAGGGTATCCAGAAACCCTCGCAGGCCCTTCAAAGGGATCTATACGAGGGTCCCTTTAAGGATAACTACAGGCTTCTAGAACTCCCTTCGAAGGGCTTTAAGGCTTCTTTGGAGTCTTTGAATGTTTTGGAGGGCTTTAGGGCTTGGAGTGTCGCCTTCTCGTCTAGTTATCAGAGGAGCTCCTCCCTAGACCCTGAATCCTAAGCCCAGCTTAAGCCTCAAAGGACCCCGACCTCAAGCCCCTTTATAGAACGGTTCTAGATCCCTTTAAAGGAACCCTTATGGACCCCTGGTCAAAGCTCGCGACTCATGTTCCTACCTTTCCTGTCACATCACATTCGCCTTGGTAGGGTTTGGGGACTTGGAGGTCTGGAGTTTAGGAGTTTAGGACTCGTAGGGTTTGGGGTTTTGGGTTCATAGTTTAGGGTTTAGGGCTCATAGGTTTTGGGGTATTGGGTATAGGGTTTAGGGTTCATAGTTTAGGGTTTAGGGCTCATAGGGTTCAGGGGTTTAGGGCTTTTAGGGACGAGGGTTTAGAGTTCAGGATCGGGTCGTGTCAAGGCCCCCTGCCTGCGTGGACAGCAGTGGGCCGAAGCCAGGGAGCACTAGACAAGAATAATGTATTGGGAATCCCAGAAAGTTGGAACATGGATTTGGGATGATTCGTGCTTCTGCTGTAGGAACCTGACTATGAATCCTACAATTTTGGGGTTGAAGGGCCAGTGTGTTCTTAATCAGGTTCCTACATTACACGTGCATCTCAACACTGGTGTCACAATTCCTGCGGAACCGAATCCGTCTAGAGTCTAAATCCATTCTGCTGTTTTGTTTGGGTAGTCCTCCAAATTAAGGTTCAGTTTCAGGCCCCAGCATAGCACGGTACCCTTATAGCATTGACGACCCCGAAAAGGGACCCTAGTTTGGAGAACTCCCCGTGTTGTTTTTGAGGGTATTTTCGGCCGAGTATACTGCATAAACAACATGGGGTCTAGGGCTGGGATTGGGGTTTAGGAGTTCGGGATTGGGTTTAGTGCCTGGGGTGTAGGGTTTAGGGCTCATAGGGTTAAGAGGTTTAGGGCTTTTGGGGTTCAGGGGTTATGGTGTAAGCTTTGGGGCATAGGGGGGAGGTATAGTGAGGAACTGGAAAGCAAGGAAGCCCATGTGCGTGCGAAGACTCCTTGCAAAGCCGTCAGGATTTGTGAATTGTGAACTTGGGCAAAACATACTGAATAATTCTCGGGGCTTCTTCAGCTGTCGACTTAGCTGTTTTTCGCCAGGACCAAGCTAAGCAGTACATCCTAAGCCGTGCCTGCTCTTATCTCTTAAGCCTTGCATCCTAGGCCCTATGAAAATGCCAAACCTGGCACCCAATTTTCAGAACCCGATTAACCCTAAACTAAACCTTAAGCTTGAATCCTAAACCGCTTTTATTTAAAGTCCTCGTATTTTTAAGAACCCCCATAGAGCCTTGAAAGGAACCCTAAGCCCCTATAGGACCTTGAAAGGAACCCTAAACCCGAAGCTCTAAATCTGAAACAGTCGGTCAGGTCGCTGGATGATGCTTCTTCCCCTGAGCTCTGCTCATGGGAGAAGGACAATATCCAGGCACAAAGGAGTCCTTTGAGGAAGGGGAAATTCAAGGGTTCCTTCTTCAAGACTACTACAAGGGGTTTAGGGTTGACTTTAAAGAGTTCATTTTAAGGGGCTCCTTTGCTTTAACGAAGGGTTCCTTCAAGGGTTCCTTCTTCAGGACTACTGCAAGGGCAAGGGCTTCAGGGTCTAGGGTTTACTTTAACGGGTTCGTTTTGGGGGCTCCTCTGAAGGTCCGTGGAATCCCGGAATGCCAAACCTCCACATGCGCTGTCGAGGCCAACAACAACTACAGCACAGGCACAGCTGCCACCGCCGAGAAAGACGGACACACGGATTCCTTCATTCAGACACGCATGCATGCATGCGCACTTACGTACACACGTGCGTTGTACATACATCCTTACATATATATAGTCTCGCCATCACTCAATTCCTTCGTCCTAGCACGGGCATTATTCTATCTGGTTGAACCGTTGCACAGGCGATCGTTGAGAAGACGCAGAATCTCGGTTGGATTCATGCTGGCCGTCAGAACGCTGAGGACGCAGTGATATTTAAACTCTGCCTGAGTTGCAACATGCATACCCAGTTGTAAATCCTTCCGGTTCGCTGTAAACTCCATAACTCTATGTCTTCTGGTCTTCCGAACTTACGAAGCTTTGACCCGTCCCTTACACTGCAGTGTTTGCACGGACGCCACCAGTCCGACTAGACAAGCTCCTAAGTTCTACCCCGTAACCTGTAGCCCTAACCCCTGCAACATAGCAGGGTACTACCTAATTCTGATGCGATCCCTATAAAGCCTTATTGCATGTTATCCCAGTCTTGAAGGCCTTCAAAGCACAGAGATTCCTATAGCCTTCCTTCAAAAACTTCAGTGATATCCTCCTGGGCACGAGTGCTCAGAACCAAAATTCGGGTGCGTCGGATGCAAAGCAGTCCCGTTGAGGTCAGCCCAGAAGAGAGTGCCGTGTTGACAGAGTCTTTCTTAGGCTCCCGAAGTGTCGAGTTCGGGGTCAGAGATCCTACAAGATGAGATGCTGGCTCCGGACTTGAATACTGCATCGAAATTTCGGCCGTTTTCATTGCATTGATTCATGCTTACCCAAATGCCCAACATTTCCGGGCTCGGATCTGGGATCCTAGCACAGGTCGGTCAGCACTCAGGGACATATGCAGGTCCTGTCGGGAGAAGCCAAGGATGGATGCATGGGATGAAGAGGACAAGTCCCTGTTCTATGACAAGACCTTCCCCCACAGGTGGGGGGAGCCCTCCCATGTCAACCTTGAGTCTTCAACCCCATGCAACTTGAAACCCTGACTCCGAATGATAGACACTTATAGACGCTATTCAACCTGCAACCATAAATCTTAAGCCGAGATATGTCGTTCAGTCTCAACTTGTCTGGCCGCAATAGATGTGAACCAACACTACAGAGGCCCTTACACTTCGGCACTGCTCTCCCGAACCCAACGCAAGCTTCACTAAGAATCTCCGACGTTCTTCTTGTCAAATGAGACTTTCGATTACGTTTCAATTTCGCACAACCCGCTTGCATATCGTCGCCCTATAAATCCTGATCAGCCCCATTATTGCGGGATCCCGCAGGCAGATTCCGTCCATCGATGGTCCGGGAGCCACAGCTACCGGCTTGGCTCAGACGCTTGCCTGCAACAGGCTTTGCTGGGGAGAAGCTTTGAGGTCTTTGGGGGTTTAGGGATTGACGAAGGCAGGGGGAAAGTTATAGGTTATAGGGGCCTTAATACTCAGGGGCCCATGATACTATAGATCTAATAAGGAATAGTATTGCTACGTAGTTGTTTCGGCCCCTATAGCATGGCGCCTTATGGGGTCTACTGTGTGGGGGATTTGGGAAGTTTGAGGATTCAAGTCTTTCGCTGCCTGGCGGATCTAGGGTTGCGAAGGTCACAAGGGTTCCTACTCAGCTCACGATGGGATTTCGGCTGGGTCTTTTCTTCCCATAGACAGTAGTATGGCATGTATCGTGATTACTGTTACTGTTATTCATGTTATTTGTCTTATTGGTCTTATTGTTCTTATTATTCTTATTGCTCTCTTGTTATTGGCATTATTGCTATTGTGATCATTATGTTTATTATTATTGTTGTTATTCTTCAGAATGTCATATCTTTTGTCGTGGTTAATCCTGTAGAGCAGAGCAGGGCTGACTGTCAAGTTTGGTAAGCGCGAGGATTTCGGATCAAGGCTGCAGGAGGGGACGTGCAGAATCCCCTCACAAGCCCTGAACCCGGTTGATGATATAAATCCTGCATTACCTTAAGGGCCCTAAACTCTGGGAATTATGGTATATTCCTTATAATGGGTAATGCAGGATTTATATCATCAACCGACCACAGGTAGTGGAACGGGGTGCAAGAGCTGAGGCGAGGTTAGGAGCAGCAGGCGTCATAGAACTCCTTACCGCATTCCAAGCCCAAAACCCTAAACCCTAAACCCTAAAACTCCACGGCATCCGGCTTGGATGCTTGCTGCTACTCCTTTCTTGCAGCTATTTAGGCCAATGTGGGTTCCAGCACGACGGCTCCACCGCGGTCAGTGGCGTTTGTTTGATGGCATTGAGCGCCGGCTGCACATGAGGTTGTATTTCTGAAAGGCTGCGAGCCAAAACTCCCAAACGCGATCCCAATTCTGTAATCCAGCGGGTCCAAGCACCCAACCAGCAGGGTTTTAGGTCCTGAATACTACTCGTGTCCTCTGAATGGCTTTTCGTACCCAAAGCCCTACTGTTTGAGCAATTGGACCCCTTAGGGTCAGTCAGCGCTCTCCTTGGCCTAGGATCTTAGGGCTGGAATTTGCTCCAAAGAGATCCTGTAGCACCTAGTTGACTTCGGAACGGAGGCATCGAATTCTGTATAGCTGCGAGTCGCCAGGACACGACCACGTCGTATAGACGGTCTGATATATTCTCATCATTGCGCCTAAACCCTGAACCCTAAGCCCTAAACTCAAACGACCCAAACCCTAAGCCCTAAAGCTCTCAACGAGAAGACCTTTGGGGCCCATCCGAGACGATCCGAGGATCCCCAGGATCTGCTACAAGGAAAAGTTGGCCCCTCGCCCAGAAGGTGTACTTATCGGCTGTAGACTCAACTTTTCAACTTCTGGGGGGTTCTTATAAGGTAGTCGATTCTGAAAGTTTCAACTTATACGGTTGATGATATAAATCCTGCATTACCTTAAGGACCCTAAACTATGGGAATTATGGTATATTCCTTATTATGGGTAATGCAGGATTTATATCATCAACCGTATTTCCTCGGATTTTCGGCCAGTGAGTTTATATCAGGGTCTGAGGGTTCGGCTTTGAGGCTGAGGGTTGAGGTTTGGGGGTTGAAGCTATGTAGGGTTTGAGGTTCAGGGTTTGGGAGTTTTGGGGTTAGAGGTTTAGGGTTTGTGGTTTAGGGTTCAGGGTTTGGGGTTCAGGGCTTCGGAAGTGCGGTTTAGTGTTTAGGGTCTTGTGTTTGGGGCTCATGGGTTTCTAATTACCCCATGTGCTTGAAGCCCAGGGTCAGCGAAGTGCCATTCTGCATTGCCTGGCCACATTTCGTGAATAATAGGAATATACTACGGTGACGTGTTTTAAATATACGGGGGCCCGGCCATCCGCACTGGCCGCAGAGGTAGTATAAAATATTTGTTTAAATCCGTATATTTAAATCCCAGTATGACGTGATCTAGCCTTCAGTCTTAAAAAGGTGAAGGCTGGAATGCTGGAGGGTTGAAGGCTGGAAGGGGTTTAGGGCTTGAGGGGTTGAAGGCTGGAAGGCTGGAGACTGCAAGGGATGGAGGGGTTGGAAGGCATGAAGGCTGGAGGGCTGGGAGGCTGGGGCTGGTGGAAGGCTGGAGGGCTGGGTCTGGAAAATTGGACTGCAGGGCTGGAGGGCTGGAGGGTTGGGCTGGGAAGGCTGGGCTGGAGGAAGGATGGAAGGCTTGAGGAAGGCTGGAGGGCTGGCTCGGTTTGGCTTGAACCTAAAGCTGAAAGTTTTGGCTTCTACCTGAACCCTAAACCCTTAAACCCTAAACCCCAAAATCCTAAACCCCAAACCCACCAATCATCTGCCAATCTCCGGATATTTTATTTCGAGGCGGGCCCGGGCGATGTGTCACGGAGGTAGTGAACAGACGCCGTAATGGCGGGAGTACGAACATGATCAGTATGTAGGGCCTACTATGGCTTATGTTTTATATACGGCATGTTACATGTGTTTGTACAGTACTATTTTGACATGACGTGTTTTATGTTATATATGTTGTTGCAGATATTGTATAACCTATATATTATGCACATCCTGGTGCATAATATATATATATATATATAGATATATATATATATATATATATATATGGGCGCGCCCCTATTTGGGGTCCCCTACGTTTTTCGCTACATCATCTGACTGAGCTATAAACACCAGACTAGGTTATAACCAGCCGATTAGGTTATAACCAGCCGACTAGTTTATAACCATTCGAATAATTTATAATCAGGTATACATTACAGCCGACTAGGTTATAATCAGGTGTACGTCATCGACTACAGTATTATATCCGGTTTGAAGACCATGTCTTCAGAATGCTGAAACCCGCACAACGCTAAGAATTCTATGACACCTTCGTCGAAAACCTGTTACAATGTGCTAAAATCCTTGCTTTGAAGCCGTCGATGTAGCTTCGTAGTTCATGTATGTGTGAATGTATCTAAACCGCTGTAATTCAGTTTTTTTCCAACAAGCGCGCTGTAGTCATTAGTCTGGTTCAGTCATTCCTTATCGCGAACTAGATTTTGCAACGAAACGTTTTCCATCTTTGTACTGTAATGCCGCAATCCCACCAAAGTGTCTGTTGTTGGACGCATTGCTATGACGTTTTGGCAAACTGATAGCTTTCAATGACATATCCCTGTGCCCCCATGTGATTGCTTTTAAACACTGGTATATCCGGTAGCTATATTTGAGTGGTGCATTCCTTAATTCTGTATGACGGCTGCCCCAAGCCAAAATTGAAAACTTGCATACTACAAGCTTAGCAAACGTTGTATAGTGTTTTTCCTAGGGGACGACATGAAGCGTCGCTTCTTAGGCTTGGCACTGTTTCTATATGCCGAGTGATGTAGCCTGTGCTTCTTGTATCTGCATACCTTAACCATCACGTAAAGCCGACTGAAAACCATAAGGCTACATCTAGCTTGTCCGAATTTCTGTTTGTGTTCTTGTGAATATTTACTGAAAGTCGAATAGAAGCCATTGTTCCCAGTCCAGAACGTGATCCTCGTGTTAGAAAAAGTGGTACACACACACACACACACACCGAATCATTCCTCAAAAGAGGTTCATCCATGTAGTTGGAAATAGCATTGCGAGGAATTTTCTACGTACCGAGCGAGGAAACCTAACAGTTTAGGTCGCGCATTTTGTTTCGCTTGCCACCCCACATATTCTTATCAGTTTTGTCTCGTCGAAATCCGGCTTCCTTGGAACGATGTTTGAGCATAACGTTGCAACCAGTTCACCTATGTACGAAGTGATGAAACCTGACCACGCTGTAAAAATTGAAATGCTCTCTCTCCCTACAATGACGTCGTATCAGCCGTATCTCAACTTTCTATGTACCGTGATATTCCAATGTTGACAACACTTACTGACCTACTGTAATCCCGATAGAGCCCCTTCATATTCCGCATTTTGATTCCTGCGTGAGTGACATGTTAGCGGCTATTCTCTCAATGTGTACATAGGTCTCATAAACCCGATGTACTGGAACGGACAGACCATTGTGTAAAGTCGCCAAAAAGCCTTTCCGCTAAAGTTGGGGCATGCGCATATGGTCCCCGGAATTATGTTTGTTACAAAGCACTGCATCATGCCTCAACAACCGCATACAGGCCAATTACCTCGGACCCTCTATTCTTCTAGTCCTTGTTTAATTTCATTGCGGTTACATTCACCCTGAAACACCGACACTTTCGAACGTTTGGATTTAGGTGTTGATGAAGTACTGTAGCGGTGGCACAGGCCTGGTTATAACCTCTGTCCCCGGTTATAACCAGGACACCTGCGTAGTAGGCAGCCCTAGACCCATCACTACGTAAACCATTAAACCATTAACAAACCGTTAAATTAGTACACCGTTAAACAAATCCTTTGCCCCAATGGACCCAAACCAATAAACCATTAAACCATTAAACCAATCCTTTTGCCCCATACCACTAAACCATTAAACCATTAAACCAATCCCCTTACCCCATACCACTAAACCACTAAACCATTAAACCATTAAACCAATCCGTTTGCTCCATACCACTAGACCACTAAACCACTAAACCATCAAACCATTAAACCATTAAACCAATGCTTTCGGCCCATACAGGGATGTGTCTCTCTCTATAGGGGAAAATGATTGGTTTAATGGTTTAATGGTTTAATGGTTTGTTGGTTTGGGTCCATTCGGGGAAATGATTGGTTTAATGGTTTATTGGTTTGGGTCCATTGGGGGAAATGATTGGTTTAATGGTTTAATGGTTTATTGGTTTAGTGGTATGGAGCAAAAGGAATGGTTTAATGGTTTAGTGGTTTGGGTGTGCAAAAACCCAGGGGACCCCATATAGGGGGGTACCCATATATATATATATATATATAGCTATAGCACAAGATACTGTTCAGCATGCCGCACATACTGCATAGTGTGTAGCAAATCCCAGAAAGTTGGAACATGGATTTAGGAGGATTAGTGCTAGGATCCGTTAGACTTTACCCTAAGGGCATGGGGATATTGATGTTCCAACTTTCTGGCTTTTACTGTATAGTTTATAGCACAGCAAGGCAACTGCTGGCTAATGGCTGCCCTGGCAGCGCTGGCGGAGTATCCGAAAGCCGTGGAGAAGGCACCAAGCGGGGAAATTTGGGCTCAAGGTCCTAGTAGGGTTTCTGATTTAGGGGTTTAGGGCTTAAGGCTTTTAGGCGTTATGGTTTAAGGTCTAGGGTTTAGGGTACGGGTTTCGGATTTGGGGGTTTAGGGTTTAGGGTTCAAGGTCTTGTGTTGTCGGAAAAAGTCTCATGTTTACTAGAGTATAAGCCCAAAGGCATTATTGTCAAATCTTCTCTACTCGTAGACTTGCGCTGCATCAACTGCTTGTGATTCGTGATGTTATTCGTCATGCTTACTCTTACTGGGACGTCTGAACTTCGGATCACCGAATGTTCCAGTCGCACCCAATGGGCCCAGCCTACGAGGTTCCATTCCGCGTTCCCACATGCCAGCATGTAAAGAGTCACCCGCTCGCAACCCCAAAACCCGAAACCCCAAAACCTACACCCCAAAAATTTCGGGAGGATTCTTTATACTAATCATTAGCAAGACCTTAGGGCCTAAGGGAGGTTCCGGGTTTCGGTTTTGGGAGCAGTTGCTGAAGCAAGTTCCAAACCATCAAGAGCTCGTCGATCTCAGCCATTTACACCCGCTGCCAGGTACCATAAACCCGGAACACTAGGACCCAGAGTAGGCCCTTATTCCCTTTTTTAGGGTTCAGGTTCCCTTTTAATTCCCTTTAAGCCAAAAAGGGCACCCTTTTTCTTCCTGGGTTACTCTTAGGTCTAG